AAATGAGGCTGCATTTTTTCACCCACTTTAATCAATGAAACTGATTTGAAACTCACCAACATGCAATGTAGGTCAAATGCAGGAAATGGGCCCTCTTGTGCGCTGTTGGTGGACATGTGCCTTAGTATAACCTTTCTAAAGATGCTGTGCAATTATGTATGAAACATAAAATCTGCACAGTCTTTGACCCAGCAACTGCACTTCCAAGAATTTATTCTAGGAAGATAATTAGATGAGGGTTTAAGTTGTATGTACAAGGATATCCTTCACCTAAATGCCCGCAGAAGATGGCTGGTTAAATAATTGTGGTATATGCAAACCACAATGGCTCCCTCCCTGATAGTCATTAGAAGGACAAAGCAGGACTGCTTTTATTAACACAGGAAACCCACGGCCTCATTAATCAGATTACAGAAACTGCACACACAGCATAACCCCAAGTGCACACAGATCTGAGTCTGCGTGCATATGCGTGTGTGTCTGTAGAGGGCTGCCTACATGTGCATTCGCTGGAATGGCAGAGGTGTGGCCAGACCTTCTGTAGCAAGCCCCAGCTGGGCAAAGCAGAACCGGGTGGATCTGGGAGTCAGGAGGAGGGGGTGAGTGAGTGGGTGAGGGCTCCTGGGGAATCAGTGCTGAGAATGTGGTGGCCAGATCTGGCAAATAAAAATATAGGATGCTCTGTTAAATTTAAATTTCAAATGAACAATATATATATATATATATATATATATATATATATATATATATATATATTTAGTATATGTATGTCCCAGCAAATATTTGGGACATACTTATACTAAAAAGAAAATTAAAAAAATCAAATTTTAAAAATTTGAATAATTTAAAATTCAAATGAACTGGGCATCCTGCACTCTATCCAGCAACCCTAACTGAGAAGCTCTGAAACACATCTGCTGCCTCCCTGGAATGACCTGTGCCAGCCTGTGTCCTTTCCCTGCCTCCGACTTAGCTCCGGTTTACCGGCCTGTGAAATGGAGTCACCGGTCTCTGCCTAACTCCAGGAGTTTTGCAAGGAGCACAGTATAAGAGAAGAGTGTTGTCTTTAGTGCCAGAAAAGCTACTCCTGGCCATCAAGTAGCCTTAAGCTGAAGACAAAACTCCTGAGTCCCAGTTTGCAAGTCTGTAAGATGGAGATAGCGATGTCTGTCCACCAGGACGTCATGGGGATTAAATGAGAATGTATGTACAGCACCTGGCATACAGTCAGTACGTAATACAAGCCGACCCCCTCCCACCCGTCCACGGCTGCAGCCCACGCTCTTGCCCCCTGGGATTACAAATCAAGCATCTCCTGGCATCTCAGGGTCTGATGACTGGCCTTTTTGATCTTTCCCTTGAAGCAGCAGCAGCAGCAGCTGTGAGCTGACACTCTTCGCCTGACTTCACCTTCCTCCAGAATCCCAGCAGCACTTCAGTTCCTTATCTGCACTTTCACTCTCCCGAAAGGGGTGGAGGAGTATCAAACTTGCTTTGATAGCGGACAATTAGGGACATAGGCCAATGGGGGCCACCGAGAGCAGGACCTGGTGTCATTCTGAAATGGGCACAGTGACTTCCTGAATAGGGACTCTGAAGAAGCTGTCCTGAGAGGGGGCAGCCCAGCCAGGAGGGGGCCCCTTTTATAGAGTCCGTCTGCCTGCCTGCCTGCCTGCCTGCTCAGAACAAATGACTAAGGAAAACTCTGCAATGGTGAGCGGGGCTGACTTCCTTCCCTGAGAGCCAAATCTTCGTGGTCCTTTTGACGAGTGGATCTCCCTATGCCCCCATAGTAAGGCCCAGAGAGCTTTTAAAAATCTGCCCAAGGTGAGTCAGTCAGTTATAGGCTCAAGAAGCTAGTGTTTATCAGTAAATCCCCAAATGTGGGATTATGTGGTGTCTTGCTGGTAAAACCAGTGATAGCGAGGACCCAGGCCACCCCTGTGGGTGCATGTACTTGCACTGTACTATATTCCCAGCAGCAGCTGCCCCTCCTGGTTCCTCCTCCCTCCCTCCTTGCCGCTCCATTCTGGGTGTTCCAAAAGTCAGTGCAACTCACACTTTCCCAGATGCACAAATTGCCCCATGGTCCAGTCCTAAGCCAGATCAATGGGGCTGGGTGATAACCCCAGCCCTGGCTTCTCTGCGCCTGACTCCAAGTGTCAGCACAGACATCTTTGACTCCTGCTGCTGGTCAGCACACAGACAGCAGCCACACAGACTGCGGAGTCGGCAGAAACCCTGCACAGCTAGCTGCACAGAGCTCCCTCAGCTACAGCAACCTGTTTGCACCAGACCAAGGCTTGTATGGGCCCCGCCTGCAAGGCTTTGTCAGCATAGAGCCAATGACTTAGAGCCCTGACACCATCGTGTGGCTGAGGTAGGACAGGTCCTTCCTTCTGCCCTCGGTCCTGCTGTGGAAGGCTGAGCTGTGGAAGGCTGAGCATTCTCCAGACTGGGCTGCCTCTGCTGTGCCAGGCAGGTGAGAGGAAGGAACCGTTGGCTTCTACTTTATCCTAATGTTTTGCAACCTTGTTTGAATCTCAGAGCCTTTGTGAATCTGATGGAAGCGCTGGCTCAGCTCTGTCCAGTAGAACTTTCTGTGATGATAGAAATGTTATCTGTCTGTGCTGTCGAATAGGGCAGCCACAAGCCACGTGTGGCTACTGAACACTTGCTAGGAGGCATGTATGACTGAGAAACCGAATTTTAAATTGTATTTAATTTTGATTAATTTAAATGTAAAGTCTCATGTGGTTAATGGTTACTATGTTGCATAGCACAGCTCTAGTAAGGGCCAGCTAGTAAATATTTTAGATTTTGCAGGCCATATGGTCTCTGTGGCAATAACTCAACTCTGAAGTTGTCGTGCATGCAAACAGTCACAGACAATATGTCAACAAATGGGCTCATCTGTGCGCTAATAAAAGTTTATTTACAAAAATGAGCCAGGGGCTGGATGGGCCCTGGAGGAGAGGGGAGGCCTCGCTTGTTGATCCCTGTTCTAAACCCTTCCTAGGAAAAAATTCATATATCTTTATACCTTTGGAATTTTGTCCTTGTTTATAAGGGGTCTGCAGAATACAGATCCTGCCACGAATTCCAGGATAGAATCTCTGACTCAAAAGAGCTCTGTGAGTGTAGCCTCAGATCTGCTCTGCTTGATAGGCAAATGTTGGCACTGTTTCCCAGAGGGGACAGTGGGGTCAGCAATCAACAGGACACTTTTTTCTTAAAGCTTCATGAGAGTCCAGACCTCAGACAAATATTTACAAGAAATGTTGAAGGAGGACACCGTGAGGGCTCAGCACACAGGGTCTCTGCAGGTATCAGCTCTGGTGTCATGACTCACTCCCGCAACCATCCCCAAACACAGCCTGTCTCCCCCAGGCCAACATACTGTGGACTGAGCTCATGGTCAGAGAGACCGTAAGGAACTTCCGAAGAGGCCTCTCTTAGTAACAAAGGTGTAGGTCAAACTCGGAGAGAATTTGTTTGGGTTCAGGGTAAAGATGTAACCAGAATGACCAAAATCACAGGCTCAATATTGGGAGGAACTGATTGTTTTTTCAAAAGAAATTGGGCTATCTCAGGTGACCTCACTTTAAAGACAAGTGGGTTTTTTTCAGTAGCCTGCAGTTAAAGGTGACTATGATGATGTCAGGAGCCCGCAGTTAAAAGCATGTGGAGCTTTCTCTGGGGCCTTCTCAGGAAGCTTTAGTTAAAAATAACGGAGACCTGCTCAGGAAACCTCAATTGCTCAGGTTAAAGCATCAAATTGTGTCCCCCACACCACCAGGGGTGGATTTGACCAAGAAGGTAGGATCTGCCCTCTTTCGGAGGTATATTCCTGCCGTCTTAAGACAAAGGTGGAATCTATTTCTATACTGCTATAGAATATAGATGCTATTCAAGAAAGCATCACTTTTTTTTTCAAATTATAAGAGAAAGTTTATTTAGAAAGTTACAGAGGTAGTAGTAGTAAGCCAGCTGGGTTGGGTAGGCTCAGGAAACAGGTTACAGAAGCGAAAGAGGGGCCCTTAGAGCTTAGGAGAGAGAAAGGCAAAGGAGGTGCGCCTGGGGGAGGAGGAGGGGAAGGGAAAGGCACTGGTGTGCTGAGAGGAAGAGCTCACCAGCATCCCTTATTTTTCAACTTCTTGGAGGCAAAAGCAAGCAAGCTTTGGAGTAACTGGCATGCTTTACTAGGGTATTATGTCATTGCTGTTATTAATTATTATTAACAGTCTTAAAATATGCCCATTAATGATCTCAACATGAAATAGCAGTGTGGGTCTTAGCCAAGAGCAGCATAATTACCTATTAATGAGATGTAAATTTCCCAGGGAAATGACAGAGATCTAGAAGTACCACCTTCTGAACTAGCATAATAAAGTTAATAATAATAATAGTGTATAATCTGAAGATATTAGTGTTAATTTGAATGCTAACACCACATTTAAACAGGCTGAGAGAAGTGGAAATTATTTGCATAACTCAAACCAAGGAACCCTAATCCATGCTATTAAGGAAAAAGTAGTAATTGTTCTCTGAACGATATAAAACTGACTCTTTGCAGTCACTGTATTGAGCAGAAATTTTTTCTAGCGACTTATTTTATTGCTTTTACTTAGGGTTTATATCACTCTTATTTTCCAAAACCAAGCTGAGGTACCTTATACAATTAAGCCCAATAGAAAACAGAATTAAAAAAATAAAAACACAACAAAACCCAGTTAAGGGTACAGAGAAGTAGATGTTACCAGGCCCTCAGGAAAAACTATTGCAGCTGAGCTCTGATTTCAATTCTCAGCTTCCTGGAAACGCAGCAGCCTGGGCAATTTAAGTAACTCAGTTACTGGCCAGTAACCAGCCTTGTTAGGACAGGCTCCAGCTCTGAATCGGAAGCAGCCCCTCCCCACAGCCCAGAGCATCACAGCCCTGCCTGGGGCTATTAGGACCTCCTATGCCAGGCCCCTGCGGCCAGGGCTGGAGGCACCTACCTTCATAACTGGCGTGGAAGCCCTGTGCACTGACTGCGTAGTCGCTGATGAGATGCAGGGAGAGGGTGGTGGCCGCGCTGACAATGGTGGCTGGTAGCTGAAAGCCTGTGAGCCTGAAAGACAAAGAGGTGCTATTTAGGGAGGATGACCCCCTTGGGAACTGCTCATCCAGTAAGCATTTATTGTGCGCCTGTTGGGTGCACAATGCTGATGTAGGCACAGGGAGGAATGCAAAACAAGCCTGACACCAGTGATAGGCAAGGTGTCCAGAGACAAAGCAGAGATGGAAACCAGGGGTCTTTTGCTACAGGAACATGGGGGGCTACTCCCCTGGAGCCATGGGCTATCCCTGACCTGCAGGCCTCCCTTGTGTAGCTCTTCTCTTTTCTAGTCTGTGGCTGTATTCTCCCCGTCTCCTCTCTTTCTGGCTGAGGTCCTCTGAGGCTCTGAGTAGATTTCACCACAAATGCACAACTAAAAATTGCCAGTAGACAATAATTTTTCACATATTGAGAAAGATATATCCAACCTAAGTAGCAGAATGTGGATGCCTCTTATCATACTCTTTATTCTTTAAAAGGAATAAGCCTACTGCTTTTGTAGAAATGATAAGTGCTGATGATTTTTAAAAGATGAAAGCAAAATAGAAAAGCCCAGTGCAATCTAGAAATGATCACCCTTGACAGCTGGCACACAAAGAGATGGAAGGATCAATAGATGGGATCAGAGTCAATGGAATAATCTCATACAAATGGGATCATACTGTACTTGCTTTTAAAATTAAAATGCTTAATTTTTCCCCCCTTCAAGTTAAGTGAAGAAAAAGAAACGGGTGAAATGAAGGAATTATTGAACCTGAGATAATGTTTAGCACAAGAGAATCATTTTTAAAAGATTCTTCTAATGTTAAGGAGATAACATAATGAAGCTTTCAATATGTGGGGACATATTTAGGAAAGAAGTTGTCCACTGCTGGGTGTCCACATGTGCTGACCCCCCACAGGTAACCTGACTGTGCACACAGGTGGTAGAGAAGTGGCAGTCTCCTGTCCACCTGTGTCCTTTGTTCCTTATCTTAGGCTCACCCTTCCTTCCCTGACCCCCATCAGGGCTCTGGGAGGGAATTCAAGGTTTACCCTTACCCCCATTTCTAGGTAGTTTGGGATATCTGTGGTATTCCTGGTTTCCTCTCTATACCTCCATTGCTATATATCTGGATGCCCAGATGTCCCCTGGAAAGCATGAGCATTGGGTTCAACAAGTTAAATCAGATATTTATTAATGCCCAGTGTGAAAAGCCCTGTGCTAGATAAAGCCCTTGCCCTTCCCACCATCCTAATCTCATAGTACTTATGTTAACACAGAATAAACTCAAGGAAAAGAGAAGAAAAAGTGATCAAACTGGGAAATGGGTGACCTAGTAAGTTTCAAGGTCATCTTCTCTCCACGTATAAAAACATCCAGCAAAGGATCCCTACCTCACACCAAGTTCTCCCCCTTCCCTGTCTGTCTTTCTCCATCTCCCTCACTTTCTCACATGGGTCAAAATTTATATTTAAAATAATGAAACCATACATATTAGAAGGAAGCACATTCTTTTTTAATCATCTTACACTAGAGAAGGTCTTTCTAAGGGTGACATATTTAGAGGACTGCTTTGGTTGCTACCTGCCCATCATTCTTCTGGGGAGCTGTCATTGCATGGGACCCAACCTGCTCATGAGCCACAGAACTGGGCCAATGGCCAATCGTGGCATATCAGTCATCTTTATGGGCTGGTTGAAGGCAAGAAGAACAGGAAAGAGGGTACATCATCCAAGTAGGGTCATTCTGAGTCCTTCCATGGGATATGACATACAGACTCTGAGAGTCTTTTATTTTTGGGTTCTAAATCATTAGAATGAAAGGTTGGGACTGCCAGCAGTCTTTTTATCATTACACAGAGCCTATCTGATTTAGAAAAAAATTATATCCCACATAGACGTAGACAAAGCTGAACATGAGAAGAGGCCTGATGATACACTGTTCAGAGGCTTGATCCAGCCATGCAGAGATCTATCTCTACAGTGCCCAGTTATATAAGCCAACATTCCTTCCTTCCTCTCTCTCTCCCTCCTTTCTTCCTTCCTTCTTTTTTTGTTCAAGCTAGTTTGATTTGATTTTTAACTCTTGAAATTGATACAGCATGAAACCCCAGAGGCTTTAAAGGAAAATACTGATTGATTTCATTATGTGAAAATTAGAAGCATGTATGGGGAGCAGAAGAAACTGTAAAAAAAAAAAAAGAGCGAGCAAGAGAAAATAGCAAACTGGGAAGATTATGTACTACATATGACAGGAAGATGGTTAGTATTTATAATGTATAAAGAAAACTTACAGATAAATATGAAAAAGATATGCAGGTAAGGGAAAAAAGGGAAAAGGTACAAATAAACAAAAATAGAAAGATGATCCACCTAATTAATATGAAAAAGTATGAAAACTGAACCCATAAGACTCCTTTTTCACCTAGCAGACTGACAAATCTCCAGGGCTAAGGAACACAGAGCCTGTAGTGATAAGGATAGTAAGGCCCAGTTCGAGTGGCTCCGCTGCTGAATGTCGTCCTGTGCACTGAAAGGTCTGCGGTTTGATCCCTGGTCAGGGCATGTACAGAAGGTAACTGATCGAGGTTTCTCTCTCACACCCATATGTGACTCTCTCTACCTCTCTCTCCCTTCCTCTCTAAGCATGTCCTCAGATGAGGGTTAAAAAGAAAAATGATAATAAGGAAATATTAAAAATCATATTCATACATTTGACATCTTAGATGAGACCAACCAATATTATGAAAAGCACAAACTACCATTATTTTCCCATTTGAATAGCACTATTGAGGAAATTGAAATTTAAAATATTCCCCCCGCCAAAAAAAATACACAGGCCCAGATGATGTCACTGGAGAATTCTACCAAATGTATAAAGAAGAATTAACACCAATTCTATCCCATCTCTTCCAGAAAACAGAGGTGAAGCGCTTTTCAAATGCATTTTATAAGATTAATATTACCCTAATTCCAAAACCAAAGACTGTTCGAGTAAAGGAAACTAAAGATCAACATCCTACATAAATATAGACAACAAAAATCCTCCACAAAATATTGGCAATGAGGACTCATCAATACATAAAAATAGTTATATGCTATAGCCAAGTGGGTATTATTCTAAGGATGCAAGGCTGGTTGGATATTTAAAAATCAATCAATGTAATTCACCATATTAACAGGCCAAAAGTTTAAAAAAAAAAATCACATGACCACATCAATTGATGTAGAAAAAGCACTTGACAAAATTCAATATTCGTTCATGATTTAAAGAAAAAACTTTCAGAAAACTAAGACTAGAGGGAAACTTCTTCAACTTGATAAAGAACACAAAAGTCCTATAGCTAATATTGCAATTAATGGTGAAAGACAATACTTTTTCCCTAAGATTTGACAATGAGGCAAGGACCCAACAATCCAATTAGAAAATCATCAGAAATCAAGAAGAGGCATTTTACTAAAGAAAATATAAGGTTGGCAAATAAGTACATTAAAAAAATTCAACATCATTGGTCATTAGGGCAATGCAAAGTAAGATCAGGATGCGATATTACTACATATCATTAGAAGAGATAAAAAATCAACAGTGACAATACCAAATGCTGGCAACAATAAGGAACAACTGGATCTCTCATACATTGCTAGTAGAATGTGAAATGGCACAGACACTTGGAAAATAGGCAGTTTCTTTTAAAAAGAAGACTACACATACACTAACATGACAACTCAGCAATCACACTCCTAGCCATTTATCCCAAAGAAATGAAAACTTGTGTCCACACAAAAATCTATACATGATTGAACATTTGTTCATGACAGGTTTTTTGTGCGGTTGTTTTTTTTTTTGTAAATAGTAAAAAACTGGAATGAGCAAAATGTCCTACAATAATAGGTTAATGTCCACGCAAACTGTGGTACATCCATACCATGAAATACTACTCAGCAATAAAAAGGAATGGGCTACTGACACATAACAGCTTAGATGGATCTCAAGGGCATTATTCTGAGTGAAAAAAAGCTCATCTAAAAAGAACGACATACCAGATGATCCCATTTATATAACATCTTTGAAATGACAACATTGAAGAGATGGAAGACAAATTTGTGGTTGCCAGGGGATGGTGAGAGGAAGGGAAGTGGGGTGACTATCAAGGAGTGGCACCAAAGAGATGATGATGGGACAGTTCTGTATCTTGATTGCAGTGGTGGTGGCATGAATTCACACACATGATGAAATGACATGGACATATATACATATACTGCACCAATGTCAGTTCCCTGGGTTTGATACTATACTATAGTGACATTAGGTGTACCCACTGGGGGAAACTAGGAGAGTACATGGAACCTCCCTGTACTACCCTTGCAACTTCCTGTGAATCTATAATTATTTCAAAATTAAAAGTTTAAAAAAATTATCTATGTGGCCCACACTGTGTTTCGATTGGACAGCATCTCAGTTCTCCATTAAATCTGACCTAAACTCCATCTACCTAGATTGAGCCTTGAGCTCCCACTTGGTCCTTGCTGGGCTCCTACCTTTAGCTGCCTCCTGTTCATTCCAAACCCTACATTGCCTCCCCCATCCTCCCACACCTACAGCACTGGCTGCGTCCTTGGAAATGGACTGTCCACCAGAACCAGAACCCTGGCCCCAAGACCACCATTCATCTGTCCCTCTGCTTCCTGTCAACTTGTCCATGCAACAGATACCCTTCCCCTACCCCCAGGTATTCATGTCTGCTGATGACAGATGCCCCCAATGATCCTGGCATTAAAATACCAAATTGTCCCCAATGGGGCCAGACCTCTATTTGGATCTGATCTCCAGGCTACATCCTAACTGAGATTGTGGTCTCTATCTCCAAATGGGCTCAATTCACAGCAGCTGCAACTTGTCTCTCACCCATGTCCACCAGAATATGCCCTTGGGTGCCCTTCCCAGATACTCAGTCTGGGGCATGGCTTTTCCTTCAACAACATACAGCTTCATGGAGGAATCTCACACCCCACCGAGGCTTCTCCCATGA